CTGCGAGCCTTCTCAAGGCACTTGCTCTCTCGAGGCGGCCACACACCTAGGCACCCTTCGCGTCTTGCGAGACATGCATGCAATTCTAACCCTGTACCGCACAGTCTGTGCAGCGGGCAAGGAGACTGATTCAAACGCTCAAGAGAGGCAAAGATACTTGCAAGCGAGGAGCTGCCTCCGGCCTTTTTGAGTCTTGACTGCGGCGATCCCTTCTCGAGTGAGCCCATCAAGCTGCATCTCAGTTTGTGCGCCAGAGTGGAGTGGAACAACACAACAAAATGACCTCGTGGCCAAGTGGCACGGCGTCAGTCTCCGATGACGAGTCTCGAGTTTCATCCTCGAGTGCCTCGTTAGGATCAGCTGGAAATCGTGGGTTCGATCCCCACCGAGGTCGCTTTTTTGCCGCATTCCTTTCCGACAACTCGGATTTGAAGCCAGAACTTTTCGCTCAAACATTAGCGGGAGAAGCCAAATCTTTCAAGCAGACCTCACCAAACCACAGCCTGCATAGCTCTCATGAGGCGGCCGCCTTATAGCCCCAAAGCCGAGAGATATATAGCCAGAAAAGGGGAACCAAAACGGGCAGGAGCACAGCAAGGGCCTACCTGATCAGCCAGATTGCGTCAAGCTCACCCTCTCCCGTTGGCTACACATGTCACACAGATCAACACTGGGCAGTAAGCTCCCCCTGCACTTGAGTCTGTTGCTGCAACTGTATACAAACCAAGCCAAATTCGGGGGAAAAGAGCTTTGGAGCAAAGCTCTTTTCCCCACGGCCAGCCTCGGTGCTCCGGTCAGCAGCATCTGCTGCAGGCGAGTTGTCAGGGCACCTCGGATGTGCACTGCGAAGCTACCATCATAAGATTCCAAAACGTCCAAGGAGTATACCTTGTTCTGTATGAAGAGGAGGAAGAACAGCCAGCCAGGGTCCAATCGGTGGCGACCTTCCCAATCCGAAAAACAAAGCGTAGTGCAGCCCTCGCAGCGCGCAAGAGACTTCGGAGAGGCGTTTCTATAGCGTTAATGAACGTTGGAATGGGGGATCGAGAAAGGTTCAGTCTTGTAGCGCTCTCGCCGTCTCTCGCAAGGTTTCGGCCGCAAGCCCCTTGGGTAGCCAAAGAGCCGGCCGTACGAGAGACACTGCGAAATATTTGCTATAATGGTTGCGCAAGGCGGCTAACTTGGTACAAAGCCGAAGCGCATTCGAGTGTCCTTAAGTCTCCGATTTCGACGCGTGCTGACTTGGTAGTTTCGCGATTTCCGTAGCCGATCGACAGAGTGGAACCATTACTCGCCCGTTCCAGAAAAGCAGGTGACTCGTGCCAAGTTCAGATTACGCAAAGCCTGCGGTAGCAATCCGGACCGCCGCCGAGTCCTCCACTCTCTGCTTTCGCACGAATTCGAGGCATCGGAGTCCGAGAAGCTGTTCAATCCTTTGGCTCTATACTCTTGCGACAGCCAGTTACAAAGAACGGACAACGGTTTTTTATTCACATCGACCTCGGGAGGGTCTACATCCGCCCGAGTCACATGCCCTTCTCGCCCTTCTTGCCACCGTTCGGCACAATCTCGATCCTGTCGAGAGTTTTTGACGTCAGGAAGGACAGAAAGGCAATCTGATCACAACGGGAACGTACCAGTAGCGGTCCGGGTCGTAGATGAAGGCAATGTGCTTCATCTTGCCGTCCTGCGGGCGCTTCTTGAACTCGACGCCGAGTTTCTCGAGGCGGTCGCACTCGGCCTGCACGTCGTCGACCGAGACGGCGATGTGACCGAAGCTGTTCGAATACATACAACGCCGCGTCAGGGCGTTGATTACTTGGCGGGCGTGTGCGGCACAAGAGGAAGGCCGAGCGGGTCCCAACTCACCCGCGACCCGGCTCCTCGTTTCCGTTGGCGTAACCCTTGAACTCGGGGTCGCTTTCGGTGCCCCACTGCCGTGTAAGGATCAGATCAGCGTCCGGAAATCGAAAAAAGGCCATGCCGCCCGGGACGCGCGGGAGCGAAAATCCGCAGAAACTCACGTTGTGGCACAACTCGAGGATGCCCTCTCGCATGAACTTGCGATCAGCTTTCTCTTCGGCCGAAAGGTGCTCCTTGCCCTCCTCGGGGAAAGCGAGGAAGTAGCTGCGGAGGGAAAGATCGAGAGAACGTGGCGGGGCCAGAGGATGGGCAGGAAGTCGGATGCGAATGAGGATCAGCAAGAGCTCGTCATGCATTCCTCACGTCAGGGTCGACCCGTTGCCGTTCGACGTACTTGGTGAAGTCGCCGCCGTCCGACTTGTGGACTGTGCGGATGGAGCAGCGGGTCAGCAGTACGGTTCGGTTCCGACATCGATAGACTCGGTGTCGGACTCACCCAGCTCCATTCCGAGGATCTCGGTGTAGAACTTGAGGGAGACCTTGGCATCCTTGATGCGGAACATGGTGTGGTCTGCACACGAGCGTGTATATGCAAAGTGGAGGCATGAGGTCAGCGGTTTGCCCTGGTGAGCGGGAGCAGCCAGCGTCTGCTCGCGGCGCGCTGCAGCCATGTGTACAGGTGCGCGCGTCTGCGGGACGTAGCGTAGGCTATTCACGTCGGCAGATGCGCTCGTTGCGTGTCCAGCCATTCGTCAAGCAGCGTGATGACGGCGAATTGAGGGGAAGCAGCTGGACGGTCGGGAAGGAGGACGGGGAAAGAGCTGGCAGGACTGACTGAGACGAGGAGGAGCCATTTTGGGTATGCTTGTGCTGAACTGTCTAGCCAAGCTGTAGATGCGGGGGAAAGCAAGGCGCTGCATGTCGAAAGTCGTCGGCGACGCAACTTTGACGCAGCGATCGAACTTGTCTCAACGGGGATGATTCGGAATATATAGTATGACAATATAACGTTAAGGTGCGCAACAGTACAGAATAAGAGAAACCATGATCGGAGCTCCGACGCCCGGTCGAAAAAAGGACTTGTGCGAAGCAATCGAGGGCCATTCGTACGTGCCGCCTCACTTGGCCAGCTTCTTCTTCTTGGCCGGCGGTTCTTCGCCTCCAGCCTTCTTGCCAGCCGCACTGGAAGACGCCGACGCCTTGGCGGTCTGCTTCCCAAAGAGCTCCGCCAGACTCTTCATCCCCTTGGTGTTGACCTTCTTGAGCGCCTCGACGCCGCGACTGCCCTTGCTCTCCACGGCTTTGCGCTTCTTGGCTGCAGAGCCGCCACCGAGATCGTCGCCCGTGGCGTTGTCGAATTTGGCAGAAGCGCGGCCGGGGAGGTAGGTCGTGTTCAGGACGACCGAGTTCGGCGTCGTCAAAGACAGGTAAGCGGTCAACGCGGGGAAGCTGCACGCCGATGCGAGCGAGAGCAGCATATCAGCAACATGCACAAGGAGGAGTGTGGGGGGAACGCGAGACGCACTCGTACGCAGCGAGCAACTGCTTGGTCACAACCGGCGGGAGGTAGTTGGCAATGATCCCGATCGCGTATTTCTGCCGACTCTCTGCGAGTTCGTACAAGATGATTCTGAGCAAACCTATGACGATGCGTATGGAGACCGGACCGCGACCGAGTCGTCCCGAGGGAGCACAGAGAAAGTCGCAAGCTTGCTCACCGGTCTGGATCTCGGCGCTCAAGCCGTGACCGCTACCGACGTCCTCCTTCCCGAGTCCGCGTCTTGCGCTCGAGAACGCCGACGCGCCCGCGTCCACTGCTGCATCAGCGAGCGGTTTCCGGTCCTCTCCCGGTTCGGTCGATTCGAGCGGACCGAATATACCGCCATCGGGGTTGGCCAACGCGTCGACTTTCGAGCGCAACAGGTCCAGAGCTTTCGCAGGGCTGTACCGCAGGAGAGACTCGTCGCCGTCGCCAGAAGCTGCGGGAATAGCTAAGCCCGTCAGTATGCGACGACGCGGCAAAAATCTCGGCCGCACTCGCCCGGGACGGATGGCCAGAACGCACGCTGCATTTCGCACACACAACGGAACCGTTCCCGGAGAGCCTGCATCTGCCCGAGCCGGCTCAAGTCCTCTGCGAACTCGTCGACGGATACGCCCGCATTTGCACTCGACGAAAGTTCTCCGAGCGGCTCGAACGCCCTCTGCGAGACGGCGTCCCACAGATCTGCGTACGTTTGGTAATGTGGAGGAAGAGTCGAAAGATAGGAAATGGCGAAAAAGGCGGGGTCGAACGGGGTCAACATGGCGATGGAACCGTCTGTCCGAGGGAGGGAGGGTGAGCAACATCCAACGACGCTGAGCCAAGTGTAAGCGTGACACGCACCCGACGCTACTTCCTGACCAATGAACCAGCACCGCTGCTTGTCTGCGTCCGGCGAGATCCGCTGGACCTCGAGCACTGCATCCGGACCGCTGGCGGAATGGCCGGTCCGCGAGTACGGCAAGAAGAGTGCCGGCTGGTCTGTGCGCGGGCCGTGACGTGTCAAAAGGGTCTCTGAACGAGTACAACTCGACCGACTCACTCGTACGCGGGTGTGGCAGCCGCAGGAAGCGCGAACTCGAGCAAGATGACTCGCTCGCTTCGAGGGGCACGTCTGCACGATGCGGGACCGGTCAGGGCCGCACGATCACAGCAGACGCGTCATTCGTACCTGTGGGCAGAATGCAGACGTGCTTGCGCTCCATAATGCCGTCCGTGGGGAGATGCGAGCGGCAGGGAGCAGAGCCGGCTCATTTTTCGCCAGACTTTTTTGTCTTTCTTTTGCTCTCTCGCTCTCCGAAAGAAGCAGGCCGAGCGACAGACTATGCAAGCGTTAAGAGTACATTTCAAGCTAAGGTGGCCTCGGAGAAACAGGCGGCCAGGTAGGTGACGTAACAAGCTAGGGAAGCGAAGCGGGGGAATTTCATGCAGGGGATGTCGAGGGACGAGGTCGTGGCGTAAAACGACGAGTATGAGGATGCAGATGGCACAAGCGTGGGGGGATGGACCAGGGAAGACATGTAGATTGGCAACAAGCGGTCTCGAAAGGAAGCGGCAGGCGAGGGGGTGGAGGACGACGGCGAAGCGGAGTGGCGCGGTGGCTCGTTTACCACTCAAAGTCGGCCTCGACGTGAGTCGCCCAAGTGAACTTTTCGAGGAGCGTCTTGGTGAGGACCTTGTTGAGCGGGACGTCGAACTGCTTGCACCACGCGACGGAGATCCTCTGTTGGAAGCGTACGCAGGAGTCAGGAGGAGCGCACCACACAGGGGGGGTCATAGAGGAAGATCCATAACGCACCGGATCTAAATAGTTAATCTTCGAGGTTCCGAGCGAGATCTCTGTATGCGTGACCCGGCGGAACGCAGACGGAGAGGGTGAGAATGATTGAAATCGGCCAGTTCGGCGAGTCGAGCGGTGAGATCGAGAGCGTGGCGGAGGGGATGAGGCGGATCATAGCGCGCGCGAGATGGGGTCGTGTGAATGAGCG